CACAGCTCAAAGCATCCTTCGTTTGTGACGTTATAAGAAATTAAGAGTGATGTCACATGAAATGTTTGAGAAAGGGACCCGATGTAAAGGCATTTTACAATAATTTTCCTCATTTCATCCAAGTGGTAAGAATGGGTACCCAGCTATAGATCTAGACAGCGAAAGATCTGGTCAGTTTGTTAGTGTTCGAGCGCTTAATCAGTTGCTTGTGCTGTATGCTTCCCAGGAAGCCGAGAATGTTTCTGAGTATTCTATGGTCTGCTGGGGTAATAATATACGTGCATAGAGTAAAGCGCATAGAGCTTGCTGTCGAGCGGGGGTATGCGCATTACATTGAGCTGCTTTTCACAAAAACATAGAGTATCGACACCACGGTGTACACCTTCGAAAAAAAGGTAGCCTATTCGCTTAGCACTAGCACACATCTATCGTCCTTATCTCCCCTTCTTCTTTTTTATGTTTGTTTCTCTCTTGTTACACTTCTAATCTTCTGGCGCTCATATGACCTTATGCAGTTGCGAGCGCCGTAAAACCTCTACAAAAACTAACAAAAAGCTAAGCACACTCGTCGTTCCACGCTACTGCCCAGAGTCTGGTTCAAGAAAAAACAAATTATTATACATGTACCTAATTTCCTTATAAATCCCCCCCCCCTCCTTTTGTGGATTTTACTGAAAAAGTTGGTCACGGGCATAAAAGGTGGTAGTTATAATAGATTTGTTGTTTCCACGGACACTCAAACTTTTATTTGTTGTTGTTGTTTTTTAAAGTGTGGTTTACACGCTCGCAACTGCATACGGTCATACTAGCGCGCGGGAACATATCAAGAATTTTCAGTTGGCAGGCAATTTTGAATTTTGCCCGGGTGGCGGCCGAAGTGTACTCTCACCGACTTTGGACCACAAAGGGAACTTAAACGTGCGCAACTTGCACACGGGACCTCCGAGATTTTTGTCCGTGTCCGAGAAGGCTTTGTGTTAGATATTACCTACCCTAAGATCAGAGGTGTTGCTGAAAGACCGAAGTAAGGAGCCAAGCTACAGTAGAAAGGCTACAGAAAGAGTCGGGAGCCCAGAGGAGGGGGAGGGAGGGAGGGGTAGAAAGTGGAGAAGAGAGCAGACAACGGAACGTGGTTAGAGAGCAGGAAGGTAGGTAAAAGAGAAAATTTTAGAGTAGAAAATTTTCCGTTGCAGTCAGGTTTCGAACTCGGGACTTATTGAATGAGAGGCGAACACCGTAACCTCTAGACCACGAGAGCTCCCCCTCTCCCCTCCTCAAACTCTGTAAGTCAACTTCCTATTATTCTCAAGTAGCAGCTCTTATCTTCAGCACTTACACTGGGCAACAAATTATAACTTTTTTCTATGGCATGAAGTTCGAGATTTGAAATAATAAAGTAATTCGAGGTCGCTGAAACCACAATTGGCATTAGTTTTGCTCTACCACGTCCTTGTTTCCCCTATGGCATAACCACTGGGGGGGGGGGGTTTGGCGGTTTTAGTAAAAGTTTTACGGCGCTTGCAACTGTATTTATAAGGGCATATGAACGCCAGAAGATTAGAGGTGTCACAAGAGAGTAACAAACATAAAAAAGAAGGAGGAGAGATAAAGACGATAGACGTTTGATGGGAAAGAAGAAGCAAACCACACTGGAGCACCCGCCAACCACCCACGGTCTACAGTTGAATTAGTTACATATTTATTAATAACAAAAGCCAACTTAGTTCAGAATTTTTTTAAAGTGTGAGAAACCAAAGCTTTTTTTCCTTTTGTATAAATCATACCAATCCTCAATTTCGCAATAGTATTGTGTAGAACATGAAGAGGAGGGAGGAGGGGGGAGGGGTCGGGCAACAATAGTGCTTTGGGGGGAAATTATGAAAGTTGGGGCTATCATTTATTTCTTGGACATTTCCTGAACAAAAGCCGAAAAATGTATGTAAGTTATTCTGTACGCTAAAATGATGTTTGAGGGATTTTAGAGTACAGGGTAGAAACTTTTTTGAGAAAATGATTGCCATTTTTTTTCTCTCGAAAAGCATGTTTTGCACCTCTTACATGCATCGCGAGCCCTTATTTCCTCGTAACTGAGATTTGGAAAAACTTCACATTTTACTTGAACCCCCCCCCCCCCCCCC